CAAAAACTAAAGTGCAATTATTTTAATTTGGTACTAAATTAGTAACATTCCCCCCAAAACAAGGATGCCATTGAATTTGTAATGTTTACTGTGTTGTGCCCGATCCTAATCTAACAGGTACAAGTAGTGTGACAAAGCCTCTGGGGACAATAAAGCTCGCCAACAGCAGGCCGGCGTCCGTGTCGCAGTCCGCCACAGCGCAGCGAGTATCAGCGACGGCTTTTCCCCGATGGCTCAACGTGACCTTTCCGAAAAGCTATTCACCCCGAGCTTAATGACGAACACACCAGTTGACATTTACCGAAGCCGGCTTGCTGTTGAATATTTCAGAGAAACATCAAAACGCCAATGTTGCTGTTACCCGAACGGGGCCCAAAGAGGGAAAGATACAGAGGTATGTATGGAACTTAAAAGAGGAACATTAAAGTGGTAAACCAACTATAAAAAAACATTTCAGTAGCTTTCGTAAAAAGGATTCAAAGTAAAAGTAGGGCTTGAGGTCTTGCTGTTTCTACAGCACCAATTGTGCAGCGAAAACACACAGAGATCCAAATAAATTAAAGACCCAAGCTTGAAATTAAAAGCACGTTTTGTGAAAAGGGCACGAAGATTGATGAGAGACCGGAAGGCGTGACTGTTGCGTGATACATCATTCCTATTTTGGCAGGACTGTCGGCTGGGTTTAATTTACGTCGCACAACAGACGTGACGCAATGGTGTCAACTCCCAGTCGCGCCCCTTCCCCGAAATCCTGGGATTGAGGTCAGACGAGTCCGTTGATGTGATTACAAAAGCAACTTCCAGCCCAGACCTCGATTACCCCAGTAGACCTGGGGAACAGGTCAGGAGAGCAACTGCCATTAAAAAAAAAGGTCAATGGACTGAATGACGGACACATAAATGCTCCCATTCCAGAGTGTACATTGCTGTGGAGGAGATGGCTATTTTAGAGTGCTGCTTGGCTCACAGTCATCAGTCATAGCTTCTATGCAACCTCGGAAAAGACCATTTGTCATGTGCAGAGAGGAGTTAATGGTATTAGCCGGGGGTCCACGAGAGGGTTAAAGACTTACATTAGCTTCACATCGACCGAGAAGAGCAGAAGGACACGCGGGGCTGACAGCACATTGTGCATTTTCTACGTACATCATTTACATTTCTAAAATCAGATCAGGATGCGTAACAGAGAAGTTAACCCTCAGCCCCTTTTCTGTGCAGCACAATGTTCGGGTCTTTAATGACCTGCGTGGTTATTCGGCGGGGTTTTGTAAAGGCCAGCCCCGTTTAGATGGAGAGCTGATACGAGACAAGCCAGACAATAGCTGGCACTGCTGGAACAGCTTCATTCTAAAGGCGACTGCAGCAGCACATCTGTATTCAGATCAGGGGCGATTGTGAGGTTACGCATTTTGGCTGAGGCGGGGGAATAGCAAAGTGGGGTGAAATCTGTTCCGCCTGCTGTGTGCAGATACAGGTCCCGGCATTGTACTTCAAACAGAGCAGAACAGTCCAACCTGCACACCAGGCGGGGGCCGAGGCGCTCTACGCACCCCCACTCAGCGCTTATCAGAGACGTACAGCAGAAAGAGCTGAACAACGGAGGAATTAGCAGTAAATAAGCTCGTTTGGAGCTGCCCCAGTGACTTGAGGTTGGAAATACCTTTGAGGTAGTCAATGAGGACATTTACATAAATGTCTCTTCCTGGTATTTTGGTGCAACATTATAAACTGGAGGAAATTCATTATGAGTTTGGTAATAATAAAAACATGCTTGGGCCTCCTCCATGTAAAAGCTCCAAGAACCTTGGCTTTTGGTGACCCTGAATTTCCAAGGTCTCAAAAGCTCTCAGCTCTTGTATTTAGACTCAGACTGAACCGCCTACGTTAAGGATCCGCCCTCCCACGCATTCCCGGTTCTCTCTGCAGCCATTCCTCCAGCTTTTGTCTGTCGAGGCCACCATGTACTGTATCGGTTCAGCTTCGTCTACATCGCACATCCCCACTAAGGCGTACACTAAACATCTCACGCCTTTCAGCCTTGTTGATTACAGAAAGTCTCAACAAAGACAGACGGTAAACAACAACACCATGGCAAAACGGCATCAATGACAAAAGAAGAAGACATATGGTCGTGGTTGGAGTCATAAAAGAAGAAGAATGTTTTTAGGAGTTTGGTGAAAGCAGCTAAAATAGTGTTGTTCTAAAACGTGGCTAGATTCTCATTGGAGAATGTATTTGCAATGGCTGAAGCAGTCCGAACAAAAAAAAAGATCCCGATCCACAACACGCCACACAGTGAGCAAAGAAAACCACCAGATGTCACTGTGGCCCTATTTCATCTCCCGTCAGCTGGTGGCCGACACTCGCCTCAGTGTGAGAAGTGCTGAGGGACTTTGCTAAACTGCCCAGATGCAATGTGGATGGATGGAGTCTGTAAAGCTATTACTATTCAGGGCACAGTTCCACACTTCCCGTCCCTCCGTCTGCAATACTCTCAAAGCGCAACAGTGCCCGGCGGCCGAAGGCTGGGAAATGACTGTACAGCTCTGCAGGAGTGGGACTGCACACACAATGCTGCGTCTGAGCCCAGGGTCCAACCTGTAGGGAGTACAACAGCCCTGCTGATGAAAAATACATAGAAGGATCTCACACATTCGTGCTGTTATTATTGAAATAATGTCAGTGGTGGCAAGGCTTGATAATCACGTTGACAATGAAAAATGATTATTATTATTATTCTGCATTTGATGGCATGGAAATTCTAAATTATTGTTTTATTTTAGCCAGCAGTAGATGGGGAAAACGATAATTGAGGCTGAGAAACCCCAACATCGCAGAAAAACACATCCTATTACTCTCTTTAGTTCCTTTCTTTATGTTAATATCTGCCCCTTCCAGTGACACGTCACAAAAAGGCAAAGTGGAAGTATAAATGCACAGCACATCTACCTGGCCGCGGCTATCGAGCTGCTGTTTGTTCTGACTGAAGGGAGAAAAAGTAATCAGATTCTTTTGTGGGCAGCAGTTGGACAAAATCAATATTATATAAGGAGGCCGGATTAATCTGAAATTTGTGCTCAGAGAGGATATCGATCAGTCTCATTCAGAAGACTTTAGAAAGCCCATGTAGATTTACAATCAATATTTAGTTCAAAATACATAACTGCAATTATAAACCGACATGAGTACAGATTGAAATCAGCAATACCATTTACCTTAACTTGATAGTGTTATGTTGCACACAGCAAACAGAGAACTTTATTGTTTATCAGACAACACACGGAATTGATGGTCTTGATCAAATAAAATGATCCTAATTGGGATTACAGGATCACAGCAGCAAAGGTTAAAGTGAAAACAAGAAACATAAGAAGAAAAAAGATTAAAAACCCTTATTGTATATGAGCGGCAATGAAGGAAAAGTCCAGCAGCGGGACTTAGAGGGAGCTCGGCTGGGCGTGGCGCTCCGATAGGAACATTTTTAGAGAAAGACTCTTGATTTGCCTCAAGCAGGAAAGACGGAGTCATGGGGAGAACGCGTGGAGCCATAGAGCTTCTGGATGTTTAATACCAACACATACTTGTTACCCCCGAGGTCAGAGCTATCACGGCTGATATTAAAGCAAATGTGATTAAGCAATAACAATATGAGTTGCAGTGGTTATGTAATCTTGTTTTGCTTGAAATGAAAGAAGGACAGTCCCGCAGACAGAGCCTGTATCATGTGTGGCTCAAACTATCGTGTTCCTTTGGCCCATCGAAATGAGAGCTGTGTGCTGGAAGTTATTCTCCAGACTCCTATCTAATATCATTAAGAGCGGATACACATTGCCTGGACTAATCCAGCTGTTCCCTACAATCACATTGTAGCCTCTCAGACGTATTGGACCCAAGTTCATCGCAATACTGCTTTCCGGGCGCGATTGAGTTACTGGCTTAAGAGGGAGTCTTGTAAAAATACTTAGGAGCCTCATTTATAGGCAATTTAGTTTAACCAATGGGCTTATTTTGATTAAAGGAGGACCTCCGTTTTGAAAGGGTGGGGGGTCCAAGTATAAGATAAAAGCCCATGTCTGAGACACTAATATGTGAAGGGAATTACACTTACATCTGTACTGCTTTGTGTTTCTGTGTGTAGCTGGTACAACATTTGTAGTGTGGCCTCACTATGACACAACATTTCAAAGCCAACACAGAAAATCCAATTATAATGCACTGTATTCATAAGAAGCCAGATCGAGGTTTGCCAACCGGACAACAACAGACATATTCAAAATAAGGAATGCAACATGACATTTATAGAAAAAAGCTCTGCCAGCAGGATGAAGCCGCATACGTCTCAGAGACGGACTCTCTCTGCATCTATCATCTATTTGAACGTTGGCTCACAAATAGGTAATTAACCTGCCATCTGGAGGCCATCTAATAGGCAGACTTTTCCTATAAGCACGACTCAAGTCGGCCTCTCTGAAATGAGGGTGCTGAATTGCGATGAGCACTGAGGTCATTTAGTCTGCTGCTGAAGAAGAGAGACAGTCCCTGAGCATCTCCGGGGCACTCAGCTATGCGCGGTCACACAATCCTGTTTTCTTAACGTGGGTTTCTTCTGCTCGTCTCGGCCACCTTCCCCAACGAGACATGAATTATTGTGTGGGGGTGTTACTCTGTGTTCAAACCAAATAGCGACTAAAAGGGCGTCTGGACCTTCCGATCCTTCTGTGTGGGTCAGCATCAAAAGCTTGACTAGCGGTTTATTTTGCTGCAGAGTCTAACAGACCAACAATCCGCGTCGGCAGAAGAGTGTATTGACAACATCTGTCGAGATAACAACTGTCAGAGTGCAGCGGCGGTGATGCGCCTCTCCATCCCGCAGCGGGGGCAACTAGTAGCAGCGAAGGCCCCCCTGGCACCGTCTACGAGGCTGAGGAGAACAAAAGCATCAAAGCCACCGGCTCTCCTCCCTGCTCTTCTCGTGCGGGGAGGGGCCCGAGCCGTGAAGGGGGAGGCACCATGTGTACTTGATTCAATTAGGCGGTCTGTGAGGCCCCCCCCTGGGAGCGGGGGGCTGCAAGAAAAAAAAGAGGCTGCAGGCCTGTCTAACAAAGACGTTCCAACCAGCCCTTTGCCGCTTCTGAATCCACCTCATTAGTCGGCCGAGTAAGTGCTGATCATCTCAAAAGTGTCTTCAGCACACAACAGTGTCTTCCTGATGTGCGGCAGGAACGTTTTGGAACTGGGGAGTATTTTTCACCGCAGAGAACCGAAGAGGACAATGCCTCCATTTTGTGTGCGTATTGTAAATTACATTCTGTGTGTATTTGTTTTGCTGCATGTGTAAATGTTCTGCCTCCGAGTTATAATTACGATTCTAACAAAAGCAATATTCCTCCGTCTGTCCATTTTAGTTGAGCCGCTGCAGCACAAACTGAAATTGACACAGCGATTGAAAATGAAAAATTCAACCCGCGGAGGAAACGTCCGAGCTGCGTGTGAACAGATCAGTAGGAATAATATCTGCTGGCAAACATCTGTCACATCCACTATCGGACTCGCAGCACAGAAGGTCCTGCATGTTTCAAAGTTTCCTCCGTATCACAGAGAATAAGGAGAGCATTTAGCTTTTTCTGAATGTCAAACTGATAACTAGGATCCAGCGACATTAGTATTCGTTCTCGTTCTGCTGGTCCTTTCAAACGCAGCAGATGTGTGTTTCTATATTTGCAAGTTGTCAGACCTGCTCAGAAGCAAATGGCGGAAAGAGATTAAAAAAGGGAAAAACATCTGCTCGGTCTGCTCTCGATATTTTCAATATCATTTTACAGAAACATACAGTAAACTGAAAAATAAATCGTAATACTTTCTTTGATGTTATGGATCTGAGCCTGAACGTGTTATTTCCATGGCTGTATTAGCATGCACTTAGTCAAACTCAAGCTATTTGGACAAGCGTGTGCTATTGTCGTCGCAGATCTCGCCACTTGTCTATTGAGTCACAACCGACCCAACTGGTCTCGCGTCCGCCAGCAGGCCCACCGACCTGCAGCCTGACAGTCACACCTGCTGTGCTCTGGGACCACTCAGCTGTTTTAGCAATCATTGCCATCACAGCAAGCAGAGATAATTACACAGCTTCCCCCCACCAGGCAGGCTGGCCCGCTTCAGTAAAACCGTATTGCTCCACTGCAGCAATAACACTTGTCTAAATGAATGCAGGACACTTTACTGCACGTCTGACAGCGCCCATTTATTCTGTCATCCTGCCGGAATGAAAAAACAAATTAATTTGGCACTTAAGGCCCCCACCTATGTGAATAATACATCACCCTCCCTTTAGACTGCAACCCCCACCTCCAAATCCCCACCATTATTTCTGTGATTCGCCGTTTTAGGTAACGGAAATGTTTTAAGGAGCCTTCAGTCAAAGGCGTTTACACATATAGAGAAATGATGGTGTTTAATCTGCTCTCATCATAATTGCCATCAATCATGAATAATTATGGCATTTCTTCTAAAATAATCATTTATTCAAAGTATCTCCATGTAATCTGTCAAACCCAAAGAAGGAGCTAATTGCACTGGGACCCTGAACACAAACTAATACAGCTTTATCGTTCCATTCGTTTCAGGTTCATGGTTTATTCTGCATTTGTTTGCCATCAACAGTCTCTTTGTTCAGTTTACACGTCTAGTTTGTGGTCTGGGCGTCAGAATAACAGATCTCTAACAATTATCACCCGCCGCCCGAATCCCAGCAACACCTCTCCTTCTCCCCTTGGGGAGGACAGACGTTGGTCTTCACACTCTCCTGTGCCCCATTATATTTATGCAAATGAGACTGAAATCAAGGGAAATCTGGGGGCATCCTTTCCTGTTAGTGCTAATTAGCAATGAATGCTATATTGCATAAATAATGCATGAAGTTGCACCGTGTGCAGCGATACATCGTGCACATTGATTTTCTAGCCGTGCATAAAGGAAGCCATCCTAAAAGTAAAGGTCCGCAGTCATTTGCAGTATAAGATTGAAGCGAGAGTCTGGGGAATGTCTTTCATGAGAATCATTGTCCGACAGAATAATACTTACGGGAGTTACACACAAGAGGGCCGTCCCGCTGAAAGGAGATCTATTAATATCATATGGCTACAGCCTGCCAATGAATCGGGCCTCATAAAGGAGCCAAACAGCAGAAGGGAGACAGACCAGGACACATAGGTGGCCAGAGACATCACATCTGAGATTGTCACTCCTGAAAGATCCCATAAAAAGGGGCAGCAAAATAACAATGATAAAAAAAAACGATTATTAAAGGGCAATCAAGTAATTTTAGTATCCTCTCCAGGCAAGTGGTGCACATTTTGATTAACTGAGCTGAAAATTGAGCGATGTGGCTCCACCGCTTCATTGTGGCTCTGAAAATACAAATAAAATAAAAAGGAAAATTGATCGTTCGACTTGAGTAGGAGCTGTCGCCATGTCAAAAGACACAACACACATGCAGTAAACACTATAAAACCACAACGCAGGAAGGACTCAGGGTAAAAACATTCAACAGTTTAGCTTCTTGTTTCGTCCTGTACAGGCTGGACGTTATGAAGTGGGACTCAGACGTCACTTAGGCAGCACCAGTAAACATGGAAGCTCTTCGCTGATCCACAAAGCAAAAACTGTAGTTCAACACAAGCTGCATCTCGAGGGAAACCACCCAGGGGACCTGCAGCAAACACAGGGAGGAGCTGAGCAACACGTCTGGATAAAGGCTCAATTTGGCTTCATGAAATGTTCTTGCATTCATCCAAAATCGTGCACATGCTCTGAATCCATCTTTAGAGTGCTGTGAACCTACATCGAGCGCAGCGTGCCATGTGGTTAATAAGGAGTCTCTGGGCTGGAAGGAAAGAACAGGATGATCAACAGTTGGCTCAGCGAGGCCGATCGCAGCAGGAAGTGCTGTTGTGGCGTAGCTGGCGGGAGAGCGTGCCCAGCACCTGGCTGGGGCCCCAAGGGGAGCTGGCAGATGGCATCGACGCAGGGGTGTGCATCCTCATCTACTGAGAACGACTTAGTCTTACTCCCTGGTAGAAACCCCAAGGAAGGAGGCCGCCCGCAGGTGAGGACAGGGGGCGCTGCCAAGCAGAGGACTCCACTGGGCTTGGCTGAAGAGGGGCTGCGAGGGTCACAATATGCCGACAGATGTTTGTGCTCATTAGGGCTCATGAAGCAGATCTGCATCCGAATTACTGAATTATTTATGTTCACGTCTCTAACCATGTTACATCCTTCTATGCGACGGCTTGTGCCAAACGTACGCTGCAGACTGCTTCAATTGCATCTATTGGATTGCTTCTATCTGCCTGGCTGAGCACTGCTTAGAAAGACTCGGATTGCCAAGAGCGTCATTTAGACACCGCCCGATGAGTGTTTACCCGTGGGGACCTTTGAGCTTCAAATGTCATCGGCTCATGCTCCTGTGAGCACACACAAAGGTCACCAGTGTCTTCAGTCTCTTATTGATTCCCAATCTAGCACCATTATTCCTGACAATTACAGAAGGAACTGAATCCTAATTCGAATCATGGAAACGCATTCATTTTAAGGATGTATCTGGAATCATAATGTAGTGCAAATACATGCATAATTCAATCTAAGGTCATGGATTCCTTTGAGGGCTGCTGGTGGACATTATTCCATTGGTGCATCAATATGTGTTGAATTTAAGAATAATTATACGTTTAATGTTAATGCTAAACCTTTACCATCAATTCAAGACATATTTGGTCTTATGGTATCACATATGACAAATATCAGCTGAGAAAATGAGACAGGCTGATGGATAAAGTGTTCGTCCGAACGTGTGTAACTGTGCTATTGAAGTTAAATTGATCCAAATAAACAAAAAGCATTTAGCTGAAATCACAAGCGGTACAATTTTCACTCCCACACACTGTCGACTTCAATTGCATTTAGACACAAGACAATTAGGCACAGTTAAAAGTAACCCGATGAAGCAAATGTAGGTGTGTGATAGTTATGTTTTCTGTATCCCTGGCTGTAGGTGTTCTCCAAATTACCTGTTGAATTAATGGTGCAAATCATTTTTTTCCCCCGTTTTACAAATATATTTTTTCTCATGAATTGCCTACCCCATGAATAAAAGATTCATTTGACCATACATTTTAAAATATTTTGATAGCACAATGTTATTAAATGGTTGTTAGCATATGACAGGAAAACACTGTTTTTGTTTTTTGCAAGCGAAGACATCTTCATTTTTAAAAGAAAGAAAGAATAAACAAACCAAAACGGAGCTGTGTGGCTCTATGGACATTGTGAGGGTGTATTAAGTGGCCTGTGGTCTGCCTGAGCACAGATGGTGGCAGAGCAGGATGTACCGACCTGTACTTTTGCCCACAGGCGCGTGCACAAATACTCACTCACTCACGCACACACACACACACACACACACAGACGTACAGCATAATCCCATATGCATGGCTGCATATGTGAATCCTGCCCCCATACATCCACACCCACACATAGATGCCGATCAGCCAAGTTAAGAGCTCATTGTGTGGCGCAGGAAGTGACTGTGGATAGACATGTTGGTCATTTAAGAAGGTGTCACACCTGTTTTTACAAAGATCAGGAGTCAAAGACCCAATACGCTCTTTCCCTCTTTCCTTCGATGTCCAGAAGTGTCGATTCACAGAAACATGCCAACAAGGCCAAACAGGATAATTAGTGCAGTGGCGCAATCAATACTGCTCGCAGGGGGCGGGGAATGCAGAAGGGGAAAACGCAATCTATGAAGCATTTGGAAAAGAGCTGCTCAGAAAGCAAAATTCAAACAGGCTGCATACATTACAAAGTGAGATATTTGCATCAGTGGGAGGGATTGTACTCGCTGCGTGTAATGAGTGCATACCGTGTGCAGCATGTCCTGCTTTTCAGATCACTATTTTTCATTATTTATATTCTGATCATAGAGGAATACATCTTATTGATTATCAACCAAAGCTATTGAGAGATCATCAGTGAGCCAGGCGGGCAACAAATGCCGAGGCGTAAAGACAGGAAGACGGATAGATAAGTAGATGAATGAAGACAATCGATTGGAAGGGGAAGAGTAGAGCTCTCTAGGGATGAGAGGGGCCTTTTTAGCGCCGTGTGAGAAGAGAAGGATGACATGTTTCCCTTTTTGAGGGTCTGTGTCTATTCACGGCGAGGACGGAGAGACGCAACGTGACGAGGGTGTGTGGCCGCGGCGCTCTGTGGCGTGACAGACGGCGATAGCAAGTGACAAACAGAGCTCTCTGAGAGAGGAGAGGAAGACACACTGGTTCTCCAGCTCCCCGCCACGGCTCTGGGATGTCAGCCATGCCCTACCCGTGCTCGCTCAGTAACAGCCGTCCAGAGAAAGAGATTCAGCCTTTGGATTCATCTTGGGGGCTTTTTGATGCATATGGCCGTCGTCTCTCTGGAAGCACTTCCGGGGGAAACCCAATTGAAATGGGCCCAAAAAGAGCCAGAGAAGCGAGCAGTGAACCCTGTGCAGTGAGCTGTGGAAGTTGGAAGCAAGGGGGTGGGAAATATTTAGTTGTCAAAGCCAATCCAAAGCCACACTTAAGGGGTGTAAAGCAACACAAGCTTCTTTTACATTCCAAATGAAGTTTATCATTCATTATCATATCATTCATTTATCATTACTAACAATATCCAACTATAATATTTTAAATTGAACAAAATAAAAACATAGTTAATCTCTTAGTATCACTATAGGTAT